TGTGCGCTTTTGTCCTGTAATTTTGTGTGGAAGGGCTAAGGCTGGCAGCATGACAGTCCAGAGGTTGTTTCCTACCCTGTAAAAGTGTTCTTATTGTTGACACTGCAAAAGGTGAAGGATTAGGGGCTAGGAACAGGAGCTAAAGTTTGCCTATTTCGAAATCAACTAGTGAGTCAACGTAAGGTGGAGGTTGGTGAGGACCCAAAAGCAGAGATGAGTTTTTGCTAATTTAATGGCAAACAGAAACAAAATCCAAGAAGAGAATGCAGAATGCTTCGAGACAAGTGTCAAGTAGTGGAGGGGGTGTTTCCGTGGAGCGCGTATCGAGGCTTGCTTCATTTGGGAGAGGAGCCAAAACAGATTACATCTGAAGCCTTGCTCCCCCACTGTATCCAGGGACCGTTTCGGGAAGTGGTGGCTCGCCTAGAGCTTGCCAGGAACTTCAACAGGCATTTAAAAAGCCTCAGTATTCAGTCAAGATGTGGGAGTTTATAGGAGAGTTGCAGTCAGTTAGATAGAGTTTGGATATAATCTAAGAATAGATTGGTTGGAAAAATAACCAATCTAGTTGGTTACAACTATTTTGGTTAGATTAAACAATGTAATGATCAAAATCTGAGAAAGCAACTGGTTGCAGTTGTAACATTAGTATTAAGTAGTATTGCTTTCCAGTGTACAGATCCTATTGCTAGTGGTGTCATCTATAAGACATTGACTTCCATTCTTGAGGTTGTTGGTTCAAGACCCACCTTAGACTTTTGAAAGTTGCAATGATATTTAACATGTGTTTTGGCAATGTGACTAATTTGAATTGGTTTGCTCTTGTACAAATATAGATTGGGAAAATGACTAACACCTTTCATTTAGCTCATCATTGCCCAATTTGCACAAGCACTATCACAATCTGCTTGAGCTTATTTCTAAATGTTCTAAGACATTTTACACAGAAAAAACTTACAAAAGATTTGATTATACACATCAATCATTAACAATTTCAAAGGAACTTGAATGGTAAAAAAAAAACAAGAAAAATTTTAGGATAATTATCAATAAAGATGTGTGAGCTTGTTACTCCTTGGTATTGGCTGCCTGTTGCCTGTCAGAACTGATATTTTAATCTAATTAGGATGGTTCCTCTGTCTGGATATACAGTTATCATCTACCGGTACATTTTGTACGTGGCAAAGATTTGGAAATGGAGGTGTCCTTCAGCTAAGAACAAAGTGTAATATTTTGACAAGGCTGGAGCCATGTGTCCATGTGTCCATGTGTCATGTGTCCTGGTTATTTAATACATATAAGTTATGAAGTGTTATTTAAAGAGTTTGTCCCAAGTGATCTCTTTTCAGGAAAAGGAACCAGAGAGATAGAACATCAAGGCTATCTTTAACAAAAACAATTGCCATAAATCACAGATTATATCAATAACTGTAGTTATGTATTCTACCAGTAGGTGGTGACATGTTCACATGAAGCTTCATGAAATGTGTGGTTTGTTGAAGCAATTTGCCCAAACCGTTCAATGCCTCGTGCCCCAAAAAAACAAAACGAAGTCCGAAAGGGGAGAACCATGACACAATGAGAGAGAAACAGTGCCACTTGTTGTTGTTGTGTGACTCGTCTACATAAAGAACAAAAAAAACTGCCTACTGACAAGCATTGACAATCATTACCGGTACTTTGCGGAAAGTGGCGCTGCATCACTCACCCAAACATTGCATGGACAATCTGCATGAGCTGAAGAAAAAAAACCTTTGTTGAACTGTTTGAAAGAATTTCAGCGGACTCAACAGAACTAATCTCCCCATCACTAATATAGAAATATGTACCTGGATTCAGATCTGCATTTAAAGGGATAGTTCGGTATTTTTGACATGAATCTGTATGGCATCCCCATCACCAGTGGCATGCAATCACACTGACTTACCCCTGGCAGGGATGCCATACAGATTCATGTCAAAAATACCGAACTATCCCTTTAAAAGAAAATCAGTTTGCATCATTGAATAAACATGGATCTGGTCTGAGGTCATGGATTCAACATCAGTTGTTCAATTTTCATAGTTCTGGGGTCTTTTTTACAAAGCTAGCACATGCACAAAACCTAGCCTAAAACCTGCCTTTGTGGATTTCCACATAAATGATGTGATCTATAAAAATAAACCTTCAACACACTTTAAAATATACTTTTCCTTATACTAACTCTGACCCATCCTTACAGGGCCTTGTACAAAGGGGAAATTGGAAACACAGACGACGATTAAGGTGGGGAACCCAAGCCAGATGGCGCCATGATTCCCCTCAGACATCTAATTTTATTTTATATGACACTTAAATGGTAGATTGACTTTATAAGATCCAAAACTGAATCTTTTACAGGGAGTGGCGGGCTAGCGGTTAGGGGATTGCGCTTGGAATCCTGAGGTTCTCAGTTCAAGCCCCACTCCCACAGATTGCCACTTTGGCTCCCCAATAGACCCTTAATCCCACAATGCTCTCCAGGCACCGTACAATGGCAGCCCACTGCTCCCCAAGGGATTGGTTAAATGCAGAGAGTGAATTTCAGTGCTCTGTAATTGTGACAGTGTAATGACAATAGAAAAGCTAAAAAAAACAACAACAAACAAACAATTTTTGATCAGTTATAATGGTGCTTAGAGCTTTTCAGAGAGATCCCTAAAGCCTGGTGTTTCAATTAAGTATCTGGGACTAGATGCCTGGAGTGGAGAAATCCCCATTTCTATAAATAAAGTAATGCTAAAAGCTATTAGTGTAAAAAGCCTTCTTATATAAAAAAAAGTATTGGTAGCAACATAACAGATGTGGGATCATTTACAGGAACTTTAAAGAATTAACCATGAAAGGATAAAAATAAGGCAGAAAGTCTTACAAGGTTTGTCTCTATAATTCAGGCCTCCTGCTAAGATCACGACAAAGGCACAGCATGGATTCCAGATATTGATGAAAAGACACCCAAAGGGGTAGCAGAGGACCACCCCGAAAAAATCCTGCAACTTGTCAAAGGATTAGCTCATGTCAGAGGCCTACAGAGTAATTCCACGGGCAAAGATGGATAGAGTATGCTCTCCTGCAGTTATCCTGTGCTGCTGTCTACCCACAGCCTCACAGCTCTGCAGTCAGCTGACTGATGTCTGTGGTCTGTTTGTAAAGTAGTCAATAAGGCTGGAGGTCAGGAGACTTCCACCATGATTTTTATGGTACTTCCTATAGACAGCAGAGAATGATAAAGCTGCAGAAGTGCAATACAAATCACATAACCTGTTCCCTCTAGTCTTGCGTTTTTGTTTTTCTTTTGTCCAGAGAAACTGGACTGTGTTTGCAAGATGCAATGTTTTTAAAGTAATTCATACTCTTTGAATAACACCTCTCTGATAGTCTCACAAGCAATGAAAAAGTATTTTAACAATCATGCATATATTATGTAGATTGTAACATATGATCATGGCAGCTTTAAGGTCTAAAGTGTGTGTCCTCAAATCCTGAACCAAGTGGTGAGACCCAGTCATTATTCTTCAATTAACAAGACTCAAGTCTTTAAACTGAAGTCTCCGGTTAAATCAAAGCAGACAGGAACTGATATTTCCCTTATAGTTGTTTGTTTCCTATTTTATCCATTTGTTAAAACTTTGTGCACACCTTTGATAGCACTGGATGACTCAACATCTGCCCCCAATTCATTTGAAGCTATGTTGTTATATAAAGATGCAGATGATAAACAGGTAAGCAGCAGGTAACTGCAGCATTCGTGCTCCAGCAAAAGGAAATGGATACCGTATTCTGGCTATTGAGCTACACATGGAGCTGGATAGAATTCTCGGGTTCCATTCCCAGCAGGCAGGTTTCCAATTTGAAACACACTCTTTTTGAAGTAAGAGCATCTTTTTTTTAAAGGGGGTTAAAGGGTTAAAATATGAATATTGAGTCACTTGCGTTAGTGTTAAAGTTCAAGCAGGAGAAGAAAAAAAAAAGAAGGAAGGTAACTGAAAATTAACACTCCCATCTGGACACAGCAAAACAGTCAGCTTTACACCTTTGGTCCCAGTACATATGCTGTAATCAGAATCAGAGCACAGCAACATGGCTCCTATTCATACTTAAATTGATGGTCCAATCTTCAAAGATTCAAAAAAAAAAAAGAAAAAGAGCTTTGGAAAGCCATGGATATTGTTTAAGAAAATATTTCTAACCATAAGATTCCATCCTAGCCTGTCTGCTGTGTAACCTAATGTTAATGATTCTGATTCTTTACAAATGGTCTCTAATGAACCTCCAAAACTTTCACAGAAGAGCTGTATCTATATTTAGCCTGTGTTGAATTAAAACCCTGTGAAACCATACTGAATGCTTTCACAGGGTTTTATTTAGGGGTAAATGGGGCAACACAGAATTAAAAGTGTATTTTTGGCCATGAATCTAATTCAGCACCATAATTATGCTTTGCTTTGTATCTGGCAAGTCAAACCCCAGTAAGAATACAGTGAGTCCAGTGATTATGATGAGGAAAAATGTGTAAACATTGCAGATATATAAATATATTTCATTATTGCACTATAATAATCATATTTCGGAATTATTTTGCATCGCCATCAACACAGTGTAGTATATATTTTGCATTCAAGCAATAATAGCTGCAGTTAAAGCCCACACAACCATGTCATATGATCACACACAGTTGGATACTTTCTGTTACTATACTTAGATTGCTTCTGGAAGAATATTAGAAGTAGAAACAAACAGGCCGAGAGGGAAGAGGACACTATGGTGCTAAAACAATTCATTAAAGTCCTGCTGGGCTTCAGAGATTGAATGGAGAACCTTTGGATGATTTTATATCTACAGTATGTGCAGTGGCTAAATAATAATTTGTGCACTACTCAGTTGATGAATTTTAATCTAAAGCTTCATCCTCTCTCTGAATATAAATTAAAAGCTCCAAGTGCAGAAAAGTGTTTTTATGTTTGTGTTTTTTGGGAGTGTACCTGGATGGAGATACTTCTGTTGTGACGGGACATGTTCATGTTGTGTGGTTGTCCATTGGCCAGGTTACGCTGGTCCACATCTATTACAAATGGATCCCTCAGACCCCCAAGGTTATACCGAACCTGCAGAGAACCTAAAAAGACCAGAGAGAGGTGAAGTTTGCTGTTCAAAGTACAAATCTGTTACTTACATGTGCATGATAGTCTTACCATCATGTCTCAAAACCACAGCGAGGTAGTCCTGCATCTTGGAGCTCACGTACATAAGAATAGCTGGAGTACTAGTTGTACTAAAACTAAGGGTCACCTCTTCCTTTGTTAAATTCACATCATTTGGCATCAGCTGTTGTGTCAAGGCTTTTGTGTCTTTACTGGTCCCTTGTACTGCTTCAGGCATGAAGTTGTATTTGACCAGTGTTCCTGCTTCAAAAAAACCGCCAATATCTGAGTGAAAAGAAAAGGAAAAAAAAACACAATCAAGCTCTATATTCAATTGACTTAGGTGCACACAGAGGACATGCACACTGGTGCATCTGAGTGTGCGGCAGGAGATCTAGTAAGGGAAAGAAAAAGCAATATAAGTTAAAAAAAAAAGCAACTGGCATCATAACCAAGCCACAGGGAGCCACTCACAAACTCATACATGCAAAGACACAAATGGGTAAACATAATATTTAGCCAGAGGGGAATAAACACACACACACACACACACACTGATATGGTTGTGTTCAGCAGGTGTAGTAAAGTGGGTGTTAAATTGCTACTCTCCACCACCTGAAACCAAACAATACACCATTTACCAGTACATTAACAAACCTAATGGCATACTTCAACCGTTCCAGGCGGCTTATTGATTCTCATAATCAAACGTTGAAAAAACCCAACTCTCTTTTCCATAACCTACATCAGTTATGCTCTATTTGTGCGTATGTGTACAGATTCCCTTTAGGTCTGCTAAAAAGGAGATAAAGAACATTAAATTAGCCTTAGCTTAAGGGAAATATAAATAGGAAGGGGGTTTGTTTTTCTTTCCTGTGCAGAATGTACCATGACATGTTGGCCTTATCTCTTCAGAACACTAAATTTTACTGAACAAATTAAAATAACTTTCTTGGCTTTTTTTCTATAGGGAGAATAAGAAAACTGATTTGTGGCTTAAAAAAAATAACAAATATTGTTGACATATGTTTTCGATGGCGACCTTTAAGAGGGTCTGGAAAATTTATTTTTAATTTTTATGTTGTTTAGAATCTAGAAAGGAGCTAAGGGAAGGAGAATGACACAAAGAGGCAACAGAGGCTTAACAAGAAATACATAAGAACTCAAATACAACCAAAAACCACTAAAATAACAAAAAATGGAAATTAAACCAATGAAAACTCAAAAAGAAAACAAACAGAACCAAAACCATGATAGTAGCATATAAATATAAAGAAGAGTTAACATAGCACATATCAAATTATTTATCTATTTTGTTGTTGTTGTAAAGGTCAGCAAAAGTGGAAAGCAGCGTTTGGTCACGAAATAGTATGCTGAGTTCTGAACATCCTAGAAAAGAATGATCAATCTGTTATCTGAAAATAAGAAGCAGATGTTTGATCTGTAAACCTAAACCCATAATCACCCACGTGATGCAACAAAAAATATACGTTAATCAGAGAAACAGCCAAAAGACCTACGACCCTTGATGGGGTGCAGAGATTCACAGAGCTCAGGTGGTCAAAACAGCTATTAGCTGTTCAACAAGCTGGATTTTATTTTGGAGGAATGAAGAAAAAAAAGTAAAATAAAACAATAACAGCTTTGAGTTTGTGATATCAAACACTGTGACACAGCATATAATATGATTTATTCCATACATGGAACTCTGCTACAGGCATATCATTAAATATTTGCAGCTGTAACTGTTGTAAGATGTTTAGAAAAAATAATATTCATGACAATATTTACAAATAGTGCTTAAAAGAAATACATAAAATAATGAATAATTTATTGCATTTGTGCAAATGTGGTCAAAAAGATTCAAAGTTTGAGTGGAACATTACAAAATGAAATTAAATAAACATGTTATTCTCATGCCTCCAGTTAACCTCATTTAAGTACCAAGGACTCTACTTTTTTTTTAACATCTTTTAAATCAGCATTTTGACCAACTGTGTCGGCAACCAACCTCCATCTCCTTCTAGTTGGGGGAAAACTGTATCCAACTCAAAGCCCAAAGGTTCAAAAGCAATGCACAATTTTCTGGGCAAAATGAATGAGAAAATTGAAGCAGAGCCACAGGATGTTCTATGGGATTGTATGCAACTGCATAGGTAATGCAGATGTGTGATGCGTGTGCATGGGTTTTCATTCGTGTATGTACGTTTGCACACTCACACCAAGCCACCCTCAAGGGCAAAAAAAAAAGCAAATGAATAGCAGTGTATAATAATGACACCAGAGGCTCCCATAAGCACTGTGTAAATATGGATACAATGGAAATGTCCTGTGCAATTATGGCTGACTTCATGCATTTTTCACTCACTGGGAGAATGGTGGGAAAGGGAAGGGGTAGTACATTAGAGCGGGATAGATGGCAAATTTGTAAAAGTGCAAAGAGGAAAAAAAAGAAAGAAGAGAAATTAGAAAAAAACAATGAATGGGAAAAAGGAGAAAGATTGAAACCGTTTTTAAAATTGACCAGAAAATGAAAAACATCTAAGAATCAAATTAGAGAACAGATGATGTTCAAATTGTGCAAAAAAGCAAACAGACACAAGGGTGTGCTCTCTCCCTTTCGTCTGTTCCTCTGATGTGCACCCAAGCCCCCCCACCCCTACTCCAAAGAATACACATAGTCACACACAAACACACACGTCCACACAAACCCCTCACTCTAACACAGACAGCAGGCTAATCTTTATTCTCTAAATCTTGAAATACTTCTTTGCTTATGACAGAATTCAAAGGAGGTCTTTTCATGTCGTATGCTAGCACTATCATTGCACACTGTCATCCTCTTCCATGGCATGGCACACGAGGACATACACACAAACACACACACATATATACGCAACCACAAAGACCCACAAAAAGATGCACACTGCGTTTCTGTCATCTTGTCACCCCCCTGCCAAGAGCGCAGGGGAAAAACACCATTCAACTTTAGGAAACAAATTAATTCACGTGTCGGAGATCAACTCTCTGACTGGGAGCTAGCAGAACGCCTCTGACAACAGTGCTGCTCTTCTCCCCAGAATACTTTGCAGAACTTGTTCTGGGAAGGAGAACTTTAATAGACTATCTAATGAATCCCTGTGAAACAAACATGATGTTTTAGTAGTAGGTGCGACGGAGCAACAGCAGAGGTAGAGTGTGACATTTTCTGTCTGTGATCTTTAAAACCTTAACACATCCACATTTGCTGAAATAAATTTTATTTGATTCGGTTTTCATTCATTTTTTTTAGTTTGATCTTTCAGTTCTACCTTCCTGCATCTTTCAGTATTCAGCAAGCAGACTCTGAAGTCAGGGAGAACTGGTGGGTAAGCACAATATCACTGCCAATCGATGGCTTTTATCATAAGCCAAAACACTTTTAACACAGATGGCTGCAAAACTGAATAGGAAGTGAAGACAAACAGAAAACGCAGGAAAATCACAGTGGGGTGTCGGCCAATGAAGCCTAATGTGACAGAAGTACTATAGAAATAACTCTGCTGCTATTTGATGTCGGCTTAGTAGACTACAGAGGGACAGTATTTTGCAAATAGATGTAGATCAGTGTTAGCTGAGGTTTTTTGACTTAATGTTTCATTTTGAGATAAATAAATAGGAATTAGTTAGAAAATGGTTGATGGTTGATGCCATTTTGAGGCTGTAAAGGACCTCGTTTAAATACTTAAAGCATATTTTTCTGCCTAAAACTATGAACTTTACTCTGTTTCATTGAGATTTTTCACATAAAGTTGCACATACCTATGAAATAGAAAGATAGGGATACGTTTGAAATATTTATACAAATTTTGATCTAGTCCTTCTTAACCTTATAGATTAATTGAAAACCGAAATCACGTCAATTGCCTACAAATTTTAAAGGTATAGTGGAGGATTTTTTGCAAATTTTTGAAAAGACTACTTAAAAAAGATTTTAAAAAATGCACATGCACAACACTGTACCCGCTCCCGAGAGGGAACGCTTATAAATGCGTGAAAGAGCATGCACAAGTCCATTTCTCCTTGTGCACACTCTGTTTAAATGTTGCTGTTTGCATCGCTCATACAAGTATAATATCCAGAAGTAGATTTGGCCTTACGTACCCATATAAACAGAATGATTGACAATTGGAGGACCACTTATTTTGATGATCCACCCGGAAAAAGAACATTCTCCACTATACCTTTTATTAGTGAAAATATATATGGTTTGTGGAAAACTAAGACCATGCATTACTTGTGCAAAAAAACACCACAATGAAACATGGTGATCGCAACGTCATGGGTGGGGATGCCTTTCCTCTGCAAGGACGTCGTTTGAGATTGACATTCTAAATACAAACCAGATCTGAGGCAAACCTTTAAGTGGCTACAAAATACCTGAGACTGGGTTAGAGATTAACCTTTGAGCAGGAAAACTACCTTAAGCATCCATGTCATTTTGTGATGCTTAAGACACTGGGCCAATATTTAGACTAAAATTTCAAATGTTTAAACCACCTGGACTTAAATTTTTCTTTAAACTAGCTAAGAGAAATCTTTTTTTGATTGGTTTGAACTTGTTACCAGCACCATTACTTAGACGCCCAATGCCACAGTTAAATGGTTTTCAATCAAAATATATACATCTGTGAGAATGGTCAAGTCAAAGTCCACACCTTAAACCAATAGGTCTGTTACATAAAATGAAAAAAAACAAACAAACAAAAACATTAACTTGTAATATGAAGAGATTTGAAAATATCCATGTGATATGAATACATTTTAAAAAGCATTATGATTAAATCTGAAATGGATGAAATAGCCCACAACTTCAATCTTCAGTGATCTGACTTAAACTGGTAGTGCTAAAACTGATCTCACCTTTGGTACAGAACGGGCCGTTGAAGGCGGTGGTGGTGCAGTCACACAGATAGCCATTATACCTCTCCACACATTTCCCTCCATTCCTGCAGTACATCCCAAAGCTGGTACAGTGGCCCTGGCAGCCAGACATAACCCCAGGCGTCACTTTGGCTCTCTCCTCCAGGTTGAGGGTGATGCCGTTCATTCTTAAGGCTCGAATACAGCCTAGAAACCCCCTCTGCCCCCCCGCAGCACCTGAGAAAAGCAGAGAAAAAATTAAGGAAAAGAAATGAGGAGCAGAAACTCTTAGCAAATGGTGTTCAGGGTGACAGGAGTCATTCTGAATGCAAGAGGCTCTGTTTTAATCAGTTTTAGAAGCTTTAATATGCTTGGGCCTGAAGGAAACCACTGATGTTATGCTAATCTCTCAAACTGTGCCCCTGTACTTGAAACAACCTTCAACTCGTTTGATTTCTTCACTAATTAGAAAAGCCTAATGAACAGGGTTTCTTAATGAACATCTCGCAAACATGCATATGCTAATGGCTGTATGAATGTATGCAAAACTATACACTTCAGACGAATACATCAGAAGTACGCCACACACGGCGCACATGATTTCAATGAGTCAATACAAACATTAATGTTTAGCCTTGGGGTGTCAGCAGCCATTTTTTCTAAAATGCCTCCATTGTCATTCTGGACTAGCACCATTACTGTCTAACTACCCATTTACATGGACAGGGTAAGGGTGTTAAATAGATGCATTTGGAGCTGAATGGCTAAAGCAATAAACACACACCTACAGGTATTTTTTCACACGTACATGGAAAGCATCATTAACGAGCGCTATGGGAAAATTCTGTTATTAAAATCTCAGAACTGGATCCTTTCAATTGGGGAAAACAACTATTTAAAAAGAATATGTAAGCTAACTTGAACTTGCACATAGTTGTATTCGTCATCAGCGTTTCCACATACAGGGAAAAAGTGAAACTTAACTATGAATTACTGAATTATAAATACAGGCATTGTTTCTCTACAGTAAAAAATAAAAAAGGGGATGCAGGTGGGTTTTCACCTGCTTTTTCTACTTCCAGTCTCATAAAGAATTGCACCCTTAGCAGACCTACTAATTAATCTATTTTGTAACACTGATTGGCTGGAGGTTTCTGCCACCTGTTTACCCAGGGCTAAATCAGCCTCTGATTAAACGGACAGCAGGCTCTGAAGCCTGCAGAGACTGAGGCAGGCACACACCAACACATACTGAAACACAGGTGTGTCCCGCTTCTCAGTGCCTCCTAAATACTATCTAATAGAGCTTAAAAAAGTAGCTGCAGTCTGTAGATCCAAAGAATACAAATTATATATTAGTTACAAATAATTTAGACAAATATTACAATTTGGAAATCAAACACTCAATCCCCCTTAAGCATTGCACACATACTGTAAATAGAGAGAGACTATGGTTAATAACAGTATTCAAAATGTATATATTTTCAGGATGTTAAAAATAAGGTTGTCTCAGAGGCTGACCAGACTTTCAATATAGCTAATATTTCTTTAAAAGAAAAGTATCTCCATAAATGTTGGTTTCATAGTCGGATCAACCATCTCAACAAGTTGAAATTGTCAGCAGAGCAGCTGATGCAAAGAGCTGCCAATTGTCTCTGCCTCCTTTGCTCTCCATAGTTTGAACAGATAAATGAACAGAAATAGATCAAAGGATTTGTGGTATAGGAAACAGGACAGTGAAGATTGTATGTTTTGGGATTTCTTTTTTAAAAGTAATAAGTAACGAAAAAAAGTAACGAAAGGATTTTGTTTCAACAAAACCAAGAAATAAGCTTTTATATTATACAAATGTTACATGTATATTACCCTTTCACTTGTAGCCACTGGTACAGAGAAGTTTAACTGTCTCTCTGCATTGAATAAAACCGTTTTTTAAAGACTTTTCCACAGACCACATGCTTAAAACACACAATCACCCTTCAAAATGCTATCAAGGTAAACTTGGTTAAACATTGGGTACTTTGTAGCCTGAAAGTATTTCTCTCTTCTGCTCATCTTTATTTAATCCTGGTCATACTTATATCTAAAATAGATTTTAGTGCAACCCACTTCCTGCAAAAGCAAGCTGAACAACCAATATGTTTAGATTGTGGGAAAAAAAAAAACTAGCACTGTACATGAATCTTTACACAACATTACATGAATAAATAAAAAACACAGTTGTTAAAGAGTAATAGCATTTCTTAGGAGGAAATAAAACTATCAAAACCAACATCGGCCCTCATTATTCCATGTTTTACTTCACTTTTCCGCCTCGAAATCTTACAGGAAAATGTCCAAAAAAACAGTTAACGACCTTTAGCAAAAGCACACTTTTTCCTACCAGACCAGTAAGATTAATTGGGTCAATAAACTCCCCCACAAGTTTTGGAAAGGAGATTATAAAGTCCACATTTAAATCACACTGATATGCTTTAACATAAACACAAACAGTGTCTCTTGAACAAGAATGAGGCTTTAAAAAAATCCTGAGAGGCTAGAAATTTCCCCACAGTGATGTAAAAAAAACCCACTGCATGCATAATACAGTATGACGGACAATATTGTTGCTAAGGGTCATACTAGGTTTATGGGGTTATTAACTTTTAAAGGGCTATCATTTCACATTTTTGTATCTATCTGTTTCTGACAAAGATACAATTAAAACTGGTTACATTATCTAAAACATTTCTGGTTGACAAAAAACTGAAAGAAATCTAAAATATCTGCAGGCTGCAGGTATTTTACAAGTAGCTTTGTCATTTGCATGCGTCTAAATATTCACTAATGCATGCAGTCTTAGGTTAAGGAAATTTGAACTTTTATTTAAAAAATCATATTTTTGAATCATTTTGCCGGCCAGTTTATATACAACTCTTTGTTATGGTTCTAATTCAATACAATTCAAATTTCTGATGGAATATCTGTTGTTGTACTGACGAAATGTTACCTACTGTCTTGACAGGTGAGTGCAGCTGGTTTCCCTGTGATGGGTGTCACACACATGCAGTGAGCAGAAACAAACAGGAATCCAATGCATGCAGACAGAAGCAGAAAAACAAGACAAAGAAAGACAGCACAGTCCAAACATGATAGAACTTAACAAAAAACAAAAAAAAATTCAAGAGTGAGGATTAATCAAAGAGGACATCTAAAAACAGATGGTGACATAAAACTAATAAAACATGACAGAATTTTTAGTTATCTTAATGTATGAAGTAAAACAGGAAACTAAAAGTTAACAGTGTAAAGTAAATGGCAGCAAACTGATGGTGTAACATTTACTTTCAGGGCCATTACAGCAAATGAGCCAGTGCGCAGTAAACACTAAAGCAACCAAACGCTTGACGAGGAGTGTATTGATTAAGAGGGTGGGAAAGAGGTGATACTCGGACAATCATGACACCAAGGTAAGCAAAATTAAGCCTCGTTTTGTCTTTGATATGTGTACGAGAGAAAAGAGAAAGATCAATCGAACTGAGAGTCTTTGTACCACATGAGTTTTAAATCAAGATAAGTGCAGCAGAAATCAGAGTTGTATTTTCAAGCTGCTCCCTTTTATTCTTTTTCCGTCTTACCACCTTTTAACATTTCCATCAATAAAAAGTAGAGAAAACAAGATGTAGTGCAAAGTGTTCCATATCAAGTCACGATCAAGTGAGTCAGGGAAAAATCTTGCTGCCTGCAGAGTTGTTTCTGCTCTTTCTAAATCTCTTTATCAAACACAAAAAGATCTTTATCCAAGGGCCGAACCCGGGGCCCCATTCCTGTGACTTGTTGGGTCATTTCCTTGGGCTCCTTAAGGCAGTGCTATTTTTAGGTTTAAGCAGAGATTAGAGAAAGGATATAAGACAAAAACTATATATATATATATATATATATATATATATATATATATATATATATATATATATATATATATATATATATATATATATATATATATATATACACTATATTGCCAAAAGTATTTGCTCACCCATCCAAATTATTGGAATCAGGTGTTCCAATCACTTCCATGGCCACAGGTGTATAAATTCAAGCACCTAGGCATGCAGACTGTTTTTACAAACATTTGTGAAAGAATGGGTCGCTCTCAGGAGCTCAGTGAATTCCAGCGTGGAACTGTGATAGGATGCCACCTGTGCAACAAATCCAGTCGTGAAATTTCCTCGCTCCTAAATATTCCACAGTCAACTGTCAGCTGTATTATAAGAAAATGGAAGTGTTTGGGAACGACAGCAACTCAGCCACGAAGTGGTAGGCCACGTAAACTGACGGAGCGGGGTCAGCGGATGCTGACGCGCATAGTGCGAAGAGGTCGCCAACTTTCTGCAGAGTCAATCACTACAGACCTCCAAACTTCATGTGGCCTTCAGATTAGCTCAAGAACAGTGCGCAGAGAGCTTCATGGAATGGGTTTCCATGGTCGAGCAGCTGCATCCAAGCCATACATCACCAAGTGCAATGCAAAGCGTCGGATGCGGTGGTGTAAAGCACGCCGCCACTGGACTCTAGAGCAGTGGAGACGCGTTCTCTGGAGTGACGAATCGCGCTTCTCCATCTGGCAATCTGATGGACGGGTCTGGGTTTGGCGGTTGCCAGGAGAACGGTACTTGTCTGACTGCATTGTGCCAAGTGTAAAGTTTGGTGGAGGGGGGATTATGGTGTGGGGTTGTTTTTCAGGAGCTGGGCTTGGCCCCTTAGTTCCAGTGAAAGGAACTCTGAATGCTTCAGCATACCAAGACATTTTGGACAATTCCATGCTCCCAACTTTGTGGGAACAGTTTGGAGCTGGCCCCTTCCTCTTCCAACATGACTGTGCACCAGTGCACAAAGCAAGGTCCATAAAGACATGGATGACAGAGTCTGGTGTGGATGAACTTGACTGGCCTGCACAGAGTCCTGACCTCAACCCGATAGAACACCTTTGGGATGAATTAGAGCGGAGACTGAGAGCCAGGCCTTCTCGTCCAACATCAGTGTGCGACCTCACAAATGCGCTTCTGGAAGAATGGTCAAAAATTCCCATAAACACACTCCTAAACCTTGTGGACAGCCTTCCCAGAAGAGTTGAAGCTGTTCTAGCTGCAAAGGGTGGACCGACGTCATATTGAACCCTATGGATTAGGAACGGGATGTCACTTAAGCTCATATGTGAGTCAAGGCAGGTGAGCAAATACTTTTGGCAATATAGTGTATATATATACTAGTGGTGGGACTCAATTGAATTAAATTAGAGGGTCCATAATTACTTAATCCAAATTAACATTATTATAATCAACAACATATAATACCTTTTTTATTGAAAAACCATTGCCTTCTCAATAATGTAGACAAGGGTTTTATACTTTCTGGGACAAAAAAAATACTTCTATATAAGTGTTAACAGTCCATGAACATTTGCTATTCTACAAAAATATATATATAGCAACAAGGCGTACAAAACTGACTTTAAACTAGGGTTGTCAAAAGTATCAATACTCAAAAAAGTATCGATACTGAAACGTTGTATCCAAATACAAAACTCATTTTAAAAAGTATCGATACAGCCATCTAAAGTGCAGAATAGTGGAAAATGCACTTTCTGAACACTGTGTGATTGAATAATTCTGTGCATTTTTCAGTTTCAGACTTTTTTTGTAACAGGTGCAGCTGCTGAGAATTATTTTTGTTTAACTGCTTTGGCCAGTTTCATTGTTATGTCTGCAAAACATAGCCAAGGAAGGAACACTTAATTTTTATTTTAAGTTTTTTATCAAGCTTGCTTAATATTGTGCACAGCATATAACCTCGAAATATTATTCTTATTGTTTTTTTATTTATTTCTTGTATTTTTTTAGTAATGAAAATATTTCTGTTGAATTTTAGAGTCTTTGTTTTTATTCTTGTGGTATCGAAAAGGGTATTGAGTATCGAATATTTTACTTAGTATCGGTATGGAGTTGAAAAGTTTAGTATCGTGACAACCCTACTTTAAACAGAAGATTAACTTTAAGTTTTTTTTTTTTTAGTTTTTACTTTCTTTTTGTCAGGAAAGGGGGTATGAGGGAGGGGGAGAGACATGCGGCAAAGGACCATAGGTCGGATTCCAACCCGGGTCGGCCGCATTGAGGACTAAGGCTTCCATACATGGGTCGTGCACGCTAACCACTGCGCCACCATCACGCCCAACTTTCATTTCTAATACTGACAGAACTGTGACTTTTCTGCACTGCATAAGCATTACCTTTTGAAGCTGAACAATTGCTATCTAATGTGCAGCATTTACAGTAGTATGATTAAAACATTTAGTCCCACTACTGAGCCAACTGTTTCTTATTAAGCTAGTTAAATACCATGTTCCTTCCTACTGTAACTGTCAGCACTTCTTTGATATACGGCCCTTATTTTGGCAGCCGCTGACGCACTTCTTCCGTAGCTCCATACTGATTTTAGGTATTCACAAGGCTGCCAACATTTCACCAAACCTTTGGGTGAGATTTTTAAATAGTTTGGACAGGAAATCCTGTCAGGGTTAGATGAGGATAGGTGCAGCTATAGGTTGGAGGTTTTCAGAGGATTTCACTGAAACAAAGTGGAAAAATGTGGAATTTTTATAGCACAGTAAATGTTACTGTGTAGCAATAAGTGGTCTGTAGTTATGTGGAACATTGTTCTCACAATATATACATTATTTTCTACATTCTGGTGGAAACCTATGCTGTCTATGAATATTTGGTAATAGGCTAAGGATTAAAAAGCTTCATTCATTATGTTATTAGTTTTTCTTACAATTGACAAAACAGTTAAACAATTCAGACCTTCTAGGAGGTTGTACATTTTATAAAAACCACCATGACACAAGACATCGTTTCTCTGGATACCGGTATTTCATTTTGGTAGATTTGATGGAAATTAAGCTTTTAAACCTATTCAATGGACCAAAATAAAGATAAATGAATATGATAAAAAATAATAAAAAAAGAACATTAATGTGGTTTCTTCTCTATGAATCCAGGATAAATTACTTTTTCTGCACATCCTCTCTGAATGTGGTTGGTCTTTTCTTGGGTGGCTCATCTTTTGAAAAATGAAATGCAATGGTTCTTTTTTCTTTTTGTGGAGCTTCTATGGGTTTGAGAGGCATACCAGAATGCTTTAAGAATTAAAACATTTTATGTTGGTTTAATTACTCCTAAATTCCAATGGGAGATTATTAAACTAGACTGAGCAATAATTATTTAACTTGTGAGCAAAACATGGACTAAAACTGGGACTAAAAAAGCACCATGTAAAGAGAAAACAAACCAGTGGATATGATCCTACACTCAGTCTCCACAGCAATAATTTAAGCTATCTGCTGTATTTTTTATTCATATTTACTCAAGTACTGAATTGCTTAAAATATTCAATAATTTACAAAGAGAAATATCCTAGTCAAGATGAGATAAGATAAAAATAGCACTAAGGTTGTATTAAAAACTTAGGCTGGGTTTTTATCACCATAGTATTTTTATAGATAAATAAGTGGAACGGAGTTCAGTTGTTAGTTGTCTGTTATTTTGTTTATGAAATAAATTGGGAATAAGGTGTAAGTGTGACAGCCCTGTATTCAGATTGAGCCATGGTTTTTAAGCTTGAATAGCCCCAGTGGACCAAGTCCTGTGATGCTGCTGTGCATCATATTTATAGAGGTAAAAGAAACTGCAAGTACAAAGATTCCTGCTCGGGTTTTTAGTACGTATACAACAAAATATATATATAACAAAATGCTATCAATTGCATTATTTCTTGTAACGGATAGAAATGTTTCTAAATAATTAATTGAAATGAACATATTAAAGTCTCGGCCCCAATATCCACTGAATGCAACAAGGTGAAGGAGGATTTTATTTGGGATTCATGTGATAGACCAACACAACAGCCTCTAAACTGTGAAGTTGAAACTAAATGAAACAAACATTTCCAGAAACCTCTGAGGAGTGCAGTGGGTGTTTGTGTTTCAACTCAACTCAACTTTATTTATAGAGCGCCTTAAAACAACCACAGCTGCCACAAAATGCTGTACATATCTGGTAAAGTTAAAATTGTATAAAAAAAACATACAAGTTTAAAAAAATAAAACAAATACAATTAAATAAATAAATTAAAAGAAATAAACCCACATAAAAAACCTGATAAAACAAAAACAGAGATACTCTCCTGCTGTGCTAAAAGCCAAATGATAAAAACGGGTTTTAAGACAAGTTTTAAAAATATGCAGAGAAGAGGATTGTCTAATGAGGAGGGGGAGCTCATTCCACAATTTTGGAGCAGCAACTGAAAAAGCTCTGTCTCATCGGTTTGGACCTCTGTACCTCCAGGAGGAGCAGGTCAGCTGACCAGAGGCACCGAGTGGGAGCATAGGGGTGGAGAAGCTCAGAGAGGTAAGGAAGGGCCAAGCCTTTTAAAGACTTAAAAACAAATAAAGCAATCTTAGCTTGCTTTATTTTATACTCCTAAATAAAACACAGCCAGTTATCTTCAGATGTTACATAGTTCGTAAATAAAGTCCACCTCTGTGTATTCTAATCCTCGTATAGAAGCAGTTTCTTCACGAAGGCCTCAAAGGTTTGTTAGAAAGCATTATAGAACAAAGAGCATCATAAATACGTTGGTCTTCTGATCCGGCAGGAAGATCATTAATCCAAGAAGCAGCCAAGGGGTCTATAGTAACTCTGGAGGTGCTACAAAGATCTACAGCTAAGGCGAGAGAATTTGCCCAAAGGACAACTATTAATGGTGCACACTAGATATATGGTCTTTGTTGAAATATTGGAAAGAAGAAAGAAGTATTCCAATGATCGCTATCTTCAGTTAAAGACCTATAAGGAACATAGCTCCCATGTGGAAGAGGGTGCTCATGCTAACAATAAAAGTAAATATTCTGGCCATATATACAGTGCAAAGCTAAAACTGCTTTTTGACCTGAATGCATCATAGATTAAATCATATTTATGTGTTTGCACAGTTGCATAAGCCTTTCTTTCCATTTACCAGGTTTCTACTGTGTGTTGGTCTATCACATAAAACGATGTTAAAACAGATTATATTATAACAGATTCTAAGAATGTGAAAAGGTTCAAGGGTATGAATACTTTGACAAGCCAGTGAAAATGTGAGCTGTACAAACAAAAAGGCTTTTTCACCTCTTTTTGTTCTAATAAATGACACTGTGAGGACAAGAAGATGACGTTCCAATCAGAAAAAAAAATGATGAGACGATGGAACTATAGAAAAAATGGGGATCAGGATTGTTAAGGCTATCACATCGGGACGCCTGATTGGAATTTTCAACAATCTCTTTTAAGAAGAACTTTTTTTTTTCTTCCATGAGATAGGAACAAGCATAAGACTCGCCTCAGCACTTTTTCCTCTACCCGCAAATTCCTGAAACTCTCTCAGCCCTGAAGTTTTCAGTGTAGAGCACAGAAGGCTCAGCACAAAAGACAAACCGAAGCAGAAGTAAAATCATAAAGCAAAAATAGGACAGATATTCTATTTTTTTAACTTATGGTGGGCTTAAAGCGTGATATAGAGAACCATTGGCAGCAACCCAATTTTTTCACCACCATCAAGGAATGAATTGCTCAGTCTAAGAATCAAATAATATTCTCTCCTTGCCCTTTTAATCCGTACTAATATAAATGTGTATTTAAGGTATTAAAGTATTAATGAAATGACCCTTTTAGGAAGTCAGTTTTGCATTTATTAAAACTGGGATCACTGAAATGGATGACTTCCAAGGATGAGTATGTATCCACATATTTGCAAATTATTAAGTAAAACACATTGTTGTGTTTTAGCTGTTCGGTCTTGCAGGCATTTAATTAGTAGTGACTGCAGCTAAGCTGAACAGAAGCCTCTTAAAGGACAGTAAAGCTGGCACATCTTTAATTTATAAATCATTCAGACCTTCTAACACTCAGAGTCTCTACTAGAGGGCAGCATAAGTGAAAATGAATTCCACCCAATCAAAGACATAAAAGTTTGAATGTGTTATTTAAGTTTTCAAATATATATACATGACTGTAAGTCCTTTACAAAGGCAAAGCTATGTGTTTAGTCTGTTATATATATGATGATTGTTTATTGTGTGTGTCGTACCCACGTAGAGCTGGCTAAACAGCTCTAGCCGTGTGTGTCCCTGTGCGGGTGCTAGCCGGGATGTCCGGTAGATCTGGTCCACCTGGAGGACTGCCTCTTTGATATTACGTTCAGCCATCACACGATGCCACTGGTCGTCATTGAGAGGCGTTTCTGAGTGCACAGTTAGCTCCACAGGGCCGTTCCCAACATCAAAAGAAAAGGAGACCACAGTAGGAGCTGGGAAAAAAAGGCAAAGATAAAAAGTTAAATGAGACAGGTGTAACCTCACATCACAACACAACAAGTGCTTCAGAACTAGATGTTCAGATATGGATCACTCCTCTAGGTATAGACATCCAGTCAGTAATCGAATGCCTCATTTGGTTCTGGTCCATTTATTTGGCAGGTATAGATTACAATTTTGCAGAATGAGGGAGCTACACAGAGCTGTGGACAGGACAAATCTCGCAGAACTTCGATTGGTGTCAGGACCTTTTGAGTTAGCTCATGACGGTGGGATGTGGCAGCTTTCACCAGTCATGTTAGGGATGGAAATCACAATGACAAGAAACAGATAATGACACCAGACATCCCAAGTCTCCCAGAAGTTCTGGCAGTCTTCCTGACATAGATAGTTGTTCACGGATGCCTGTGAGTCGGATAAATTATCCCGGATTTTTGACTATGGTAGGTGGTGTTTTTTTAATGCGAGTGAGAGTAGGCAGGCTGTACAATAATTCATGCATCATGTGCGGATTAGAACTACTGCGATTACGCAGACACAATAAGAGCGAGTGGGTGTTGGGAGGAGGTTGCTGGTGACACCTGTCTGTCCAAAGCGATGCTCTGTTCAACCAGCGTTCCAGGCAACTGGTTGTCAGAGAGCTGATTGGATCAGTCTGATAAGTTTCTCTGGGTTACTCTCTGGCAGTCACCTAGTTACCATTCAAAGCTGAGCATCCTGTGAAACGGCAGAGGTTGAATCCTCAAGTAAAAAACGAAAATATAAGAATAATTTTACAGCAGAATATACAAAAGTATATCCCTGTCTCGTGAAGGTGAGGAACAGTCGCAGATCTAGACCAAATGTACCAAGGGGCCTGGAGGGGGCCAACGTATTTTCATGGGGGCCCTGAAAAGCATGAAATAAAAAAAAACAGGGCAAGTGATTCAAATATATTAAGAGAGCTGCATGAAGTGAAATTTCTTTTCAATTCGGTTTAATAGAAATTCTATTTCTCATGAGGTCAATATACATTTATAATTTAGGAATTTTACATATTTCTGACTTAATTCATCTGTAAAAATTATTTGTTGTGAAAAAAAAAATAGGCAGATAAAAACTGGGATCCTATCGCAATACCACTGAAGATATCAGCTTATTGTTTTGGAATAATTAGTAAAAAAGAATTTGTAAAGAAAAAGAATGAAATAGATCCAAATGACCTATCAGTAACCATGTCTGTTCCTGCGCATATCATCATTAGTATGTCTTTTAAGTATTATGTCTTCAGTACAGGGGCGATAACAGGGGCCACTTCATGATCTACATGGGCACTGGCCCCCGTTGGCCCCTATCTAGAACCGGCCATGGAGAGGAATGATGACACGGTGGTGAGGTGCGCTGTATGCTGAAGTTGCATGAAAAACAGAGCGGGGGTATGATGAGCATCTCCCTGAAATTAGTTTTTGGAACTTGGGATGTCTGTGGCACAAATGTTAGGTGCAGGAATAGAGTTAGAGGGAAAGAGGTGACAATTCCAGATAAACAGCTGTACATGTTATCACATCAGTAAAACTGAACTTGAGAGATGTGTTGTGTATGCTTAATATGTGTTATTAAAAAAATTCAGTTGTGTGGCTAATTATTAATGATCAACATCTGACAAAAGGGGGCAGTATTCTTCCTTGATTGGGCATTTCCCCATTCATATCTTTCATTCTTAGGTCTGACTGACTGAATTTGAGTGACTGACCTTTCAACCTGCCCACTCCAGATGTTGCCAGTCCAACTATGGAAAGGTTACTGTAGCAGGAGTTTTCCGCAATCCCTTTATTTTTATCCACATAGTGTTTCTGTTCATTAACTGCAAACAAAGGAACACCTCACATTCTTTCTCTGAATCTGATTAACTGTTATCTGAATGTAATGGATTTATAAAAGCATCACATAAAGCCTTGCAAAGGCTTTCATATGGTTTTGTACAACAAGGGATTCACAGATACCACATTTGATCAGCTGCTGATATCTAATACTGATATGAATACTAATTAAAACTATTCTACGATACTTTTTGGGATATACATTTTTTCCTTAATCACATTTGGGGGTGGGGTGGGGGTGGGGGGTATTTTGCCAAAGAATCATGCTTGCATGTAAAAAAAAATGTTATTAATCTTTTAAAATTTACAGCTAGTTTTGAAAAACAGTCCTGCCAAACCCGTCAATAATAATTAAGTTTTAACTCACCAAACTCTAAAAGTGCTTTGCATGCAGGACTAGTTCTGCATTGTAAAATCTTTCTATATTCACTGTTAAGTTCAATTAATGAGGTACAAAGAGGTTAGATGTCATGGTAAAATACCCAGAAGCAGGTGGGAGGGATGTGCCTGAAACAGCTCTAGTACATTTAAAGGACACTAATTACCCCTTTCTATTATCGGACAATGGCTGCAGATGTAACAATAGGCATTTTCATTTTAGACGTCCAGGGATGCCACAGTTTTCACCATCTGCAGGGTGTTCCTGAACTTTCTCACCTGCTTCTAAAGGGTTTGCAGGCGTTTCAGATTCCACCGACCCCTGGAAATCTGGTTACTTAGCGTTGTATAGTTTTTTTTAGATTTTTTGCGAGATTGCAAGCTTTCAATGTGCTAGAAAATATTTTTTTCTCTTTTGACTAATTTGCTGAACATCATTTTGCAGACCATTTAACCGTTTTCCACCTTCATCCACTTGTGAACACGTCCACATTACTCCACATCTTCCATGTGACTCTTAAGTTAGGGAAAAACTTTGCTCTGCATTTGAGTGGAGCCGGTTCTTTTTTTCCTGTCTAAATTCTATGCCCTGCTATTGTTGCTTAATAGACTTTACTATAGACTTTACTATGCATGTGAAGACTTCTGATATATATATATATATCTCAGGGTTAAATCTATTTACTTTCAAGTGGCACTTTCATGACCACTAGTGAGTACGAGTAGAGGCACATGAGCAGATGCTACTACAAGGATCTTGGCATCCCTAGATAAAAGCACACATTGGAGTTACACACTAACATGTTAAAATGTATTGATGTAAACTACTCTACTGTATCTGGTGTTGTTGTCCTGCTGGAAAAAACAACCTCTATAGACACACACAAGAGGTCTTGAAAGCTAATTTGGCCAATTCTAAATGAAGTAGGGTGTACTGCATGTTATTTTTTATTTTCTGAATATACACTATATGCACATTAATCCAGCACCAACCTGCACCATCCCCGATAAAAAAAATGAAAGGCGTCTTTCTTCAACTTCAAAATAATACATTACTTAGCAAAACCATCAATCAACAAGGATTAAACTAAATTATAGTTTTTTGATGCATTGTTCGAGGGTTTTAAAACAATTTAAACAGTTTTTCCAGATATGTGTCAGAATGTACAACATAAAGCATTGTTGTTAACACTAATTTTTCTAAAAGGATGCCAAAGTAAAAAGAAATGTTGTTTATATGCAGAGGTGGGTAAATGTTTACATGCTCTCAGTTACATTTATTTGAGTACATTTTAGAATTTCAACTTACTTTTACTTAAGAAATATTCTTGTGAGTGCATCCCTACTGTTGTTTGAGTAAATCTTCTAGTTGCTCCACTGACCTGAAGTAACTAAGTTCTTTAGAGATAAGGGCTAAAAATACAGCTAACAGTATTTTTGATGGAAGTTCTTAATATTATCCCAACTTATATACATAATCTACTGTCAGTATTGTTTTTATAAATTTACATTTCAAAAAGCTGATTTGAAAAAGTGTTTCTTCTCCCCATAATTTGTTATTTATTTAGTTAGTTTTTTTATTTGCATTTTCTTTAATTCTACTTTATTTTCTTACCTTGAAATACCATCATATTCACATAATTCTCCATCTAATTACATCATTTAAAAAATAAAATCAGATTTTTCTTAGTACTTTAGCGCTTTTACTTGAGTAAAAAAAACTAAAAAAACTTTTAAAGTCATGCCACTGTTACTTGAGTATAACTTTGGGGTACTGTACCCACCTCTGGTCATTTTAAGCAACAACAAAAAATAGCAAACATGCTTTTGCTGCAGCAGAGTGCATTTTCCTTTCATAAGTCAAAATCAACTTGACTTCTTTCCAAGTTTTGGAATACTGTGAGACTTATGCATTCTGGGTGCCATATTGTTGCTTCTGGCACCAGTGTGCTGCAGCCATACTGATGATTAATCGCTCAGTGTTGTACTGGATTGCTTTTGTTCCATTTGCCTCTGTATTTCAGCGCATAATTTTGTGTATTAATCAATAGGGAAATGAGCTTTCTTCTTTTGTTTTTCCCAATCAATATGCCTGGCCTTTTCCTCCATTTCATATCGCTTTCATCTAATTATATCTTTTATCATATAGCCATTTCTTCCAGTGTTTGGCCTTGCATCTTTCTCAAAACAAACTTGAGCTCTCCTGAGTTTTATATTATTTCTGTTTACTCATTTTTCTCTTACTTTGCTTTTATGCTTCTTGCTATTACTGCCTCCCTCCATTTACACATGCCTTGACCCATTCTTTCCTTGCCAGCACGCCACTTCAGTCCTACTTAAAATACTTAGCAGTTTGTTAATTTTTGGGGAACTTAAGTGAAACAAACAATATGCTGGATTTTTGAGATTCTTAAAAAAAAAAAAAACTCTCGTTCTGTTCACGGGGTCAGAGAACAGGACTGATTTAAAAGCACCTGCAAAACCAGATACATTTGAGGATAACCCAGGCCATTTCTCTTGTGCAGTAAAAATAAGCTTAGAATTCAAAACAACCAGGTGACTTGTTAATCCATCGTTTAGATGCCAGCTTTTACTTCAGCAGGTACTCAGGATTTTTTTTCCTTTTAATGGTTTCAGCAATATCCAGTACTTTAAGAGCAGCGGAAGCAATCTGGCATTCCAACTAAAATTACACAGATGGAGAAGTCGTTGTTTTGCACATATCTCCTTTCTAATGACTTTGCACTAAACTATCT